CACGTCCCCAAACCCCGCTCATGTGTCCCCAAACCCCCCTCCCATGTCCCCAACCTCCCTCCCATGTCCCCAATCCTCCCTCCTGTGTCCCCAAACCCCCTCCAGCCAACCCAACACCCCTGGGGACGGGGGGAGCGGAGCGGCTTTGCCTCCCCTTGAGGCCTCATTGCTCCCCGTCCCCCTCGTCCCCAAAACGTCTCCTACCTGTCGGTTCCTCTGATCCAGTATTCGGCTGATCTGTATTTTTTTCCGGCCCATTTTCGCCTCCTAAACCCAACGGGGGGCTGGAAGAGAGAGAGAAAAAGCCCCTGAACCCCCGGAGCCGAGCGAGCATCCGCCCCGGCACCGCGTCAACCTCCTCGCCCCTCCGGCCGCCAAAAATAAGTTTTGCTGAAAAAACACCCCCAGTTTTCAGAGGAAGTTTCGGCATTGTCTTTTTTTTTTTCAGCAAAGACGGTGGCAAATGAAAAAAACCCCAAAATATTGGGAATTTCTGTTGGGGCAGGGGGGGATAAATCCCCTCGGGTCTCTCCGGCCGCTTCCACCGCCCCGGCTCCATCCCCCCCAGCCCACACCGGCCCCTGGGGACCCCAGCACCTGCGTGTGCCAGCCAGAAAGTTGGGGTGCCACGGTGCCAGGTCCTTCACTAGGAGCAGGGAATGAGCCTTTGCATTCCCAAATGCCCACCCGAAGCCAAAGGGGGGGGGCTGCTCCCACCCCTGCCCCACACGCTGATGCTCTTCAGCGGCGGGTCCCTCGAGCGGGGAGGGCGGTTATAAGAGAGGCCGGGTTGGCTGCGGGGAGGGTCCGTAAAACAAAAGGGCTGTTTTTAGGTACAAGGTTATTTTATTTTTAATTTTATTTTTTTTTTCTTAAAGAAAAAAAACCAACAACTAAAGCGAAGAGACTAAATTTGACCTCCCGCCATTGGCGGGCCAGGAAGTGGCTGTACGAGGAGACAGCAAAGCGAAACCACCCACCTCTTCGGGCCACGTGAAGGGCGAGGGGTCGAGGGACCCCACATCCCACCCCGCTTACAGGGTGCCAGCACCCAGCCCACCCCGCCACGGGGCTGTTACACCCCCCCATCGTATCCTCCTGCCACCCCAGCGACCCAATTCTTGCTCCTCTTGTCATCTCCCACCATCCTTCACCCCGAAATCCCTTTGGGATGCTCCGGTGCCATCACAGCCTGGAGCAGATCCATGGGTGGCATCAAGATGCTCCCAATGGGACCCTCAGACCTGGTCTCCCCACCCTAATTTGGGTGCAGACCTGGCCCAACTCGGTCCCTGTCGTCCCTAAGACACAGCCATGGGGCAAGAGCCCAACTGGGAAGCGAGAGGAGCTGGGAGCTCTTTCCTGTGGGTCCCTGGGGATGGCGGGCACCCCAGGACCCCCCGAGCCCCCCCACGGCAGGGATGAGCCCCAAGGGTGCAGGTTGGGGACCAGCCAGCCCCTTTGCTCCCCCGATGCCCCAGCTTGTCCCGCTTCCCCCTCTCGAGCACGTTGCCATTTACCATCTTGCTCAGCTGCTATATTTAGCTGATCAAAACTAATTTTAATTTATGGAAGGAAATTGCGCTGCCGTTCCCACGACCCCGCTGCCACCCTGTGTCCCGGGGCCCACGCACGACACCAAGGTACAAGGGGGTGCCAAGACCACCCCAGCCCCCTCTCCCTTTCCCCCCCCCCAACCCCGGAAAAAGCCGATGATTCCCTGGGGAAAAGGCAGAGGTTTTCCCAACGATTTCTGCTCCTCATGTGGGGCCGGGGCTGCTCCTGCCCTCCTGGCACCCACACCTGTGAGGTGGCATCAGGCCAGGGCACTTCCAGGTATATGGGGGGGGTCAGCTCTCTCCTGCCCACCCCCATCCCACGATCTTTAATTTGGGGTGCAGAAACGGGAGCTGGGTTGGGGTCAGGGGATGCTCACCCCCCTCCATGTCCCCGCACAGGGATTTTTAAAGGCTCCAGGGTGCTGGGGGAGAGCTGGACAGAAGGATGTGTGTCCCTCCATCTGCAGGGGGGGACACACAAAATGCTCCCCCAGCTCTTTGGGGGCTGCACCCCCAGCTCTTTGGATGCTGTGACACCCCCATGCCGTGCTCCAGCACTCCCAGTTTGTAGCCATATGGGAAATGCAGAGGGAAATGGTCCCTCCCCAGCCCCAGCCTGCCCCGATGCCTGGCTCATTGCCCCCCCCTCCCTGCTGCTCCAGGGCAGGGGACAGGGGACAGGAGCCACCCCCAGGTACCAGCATGACTTTGAGCCCCCGAGGTGGTCACATCTGCCCAAACAGGGTGCTCTGGGTGTGGGGTTCAGGGGTACCAGCACCCACGGGGTGATGCTGCAGGATTCCAGGGGGTTATCAGCACCCATGGGGTGATGATGCAGAGGGTCCTGGGGGGTACCAGCACCCACAAAGCGACGCTGCGGGGGGTTCAGGGGGACACCAGCACCTATGGGGGTCTGAGGGGTGGACCAGCACCCATGGGGTGATGCTGTGGGGGGTTCAGGGGGACACCAGCACCCATGGGGTGATGCTGTGGGGGTCTGAGGGGTGGCCCAGCACCCACGGACAAGCACCCACGGGGTGATGCTATGGGGGTCTGAGGGTGGACCAGCACCCATGGGGGGATGCTGTGGGGGTCTGAGGGTGGCCCAGCACCCATGGAGTGATGCTGTGGGGGTCTGAGAGGTGGACAAGCACCCACAGGGTGATGCTGTGGGGGTCTGAGGAGGTGGTCACATCTGCCCAAAAAGGGTGCTCTGGGTGTGGGGTTCAGGGATACCAGCACCCACGGGGTGATGCTGCAGGGTTCCAGGGGGTTATTGGCACCCATGGGGCGATGATGCAGAGGGTCCTGGGGGGCATCAGCACCCACAGAGCGATGCTGCGGGGGGTTCAGGGGGACACCAGCACCCATGGGGTGATGCTGTGGGGGTCTGAGGGGTGGCCCAGCACCCACGGGGTGATGCTATGGGGGCTGAAGGTGGACCAGCACCCTTGGGGTGATGCTATGGGGGTCTGAGGGTGGACCAGCACCCTTGGGGTGATGCTATGGGGGTCTGAGGGTGGACCAGCACCCTTGGGGTGATGCTGTGGGGGTCTGAGGGTGGCCCAGCACCCTTGGGGTGATGCTGTGGGGGTCTGAGGGTGGCCCAGCACCCACGGGGTGATGCTATGGGGGTCTGAGGGGTGGCCCAGCACCCTTGGGGTGATGCTGTGGGGGTCTGAGGGTGGCCCAGCACCCTTGGGGTGATGCTATGGGGGTCTGAGGGTGGCCCAGCACCCACGGGGTGATGCTATGGGGGTCTGAGGGGTGGCCCAGCACCCTTGGGGTGATGCTGTGGGGTCTGAGGGTGGCCCAGCACCCATGGGGTGATGCTGTGGGTTTCCAGGGTGGTACCGGTGCCCACAGGGCAATGATGAAGGACGTCCAGGGGGGTAAAAGCACCCACAGGATGATGATGCAGAGGGTCCAGGGCGGGTACCAGCACCCACAGGATGATGCTGGGGGGGTCCCAGCCCAGAATAGTGTTGGGGGGTGTGGGAGGTAAGAGGAAGTGGCAGCCACAGCGCCGTGGAGCTGTGGCTGGACTCATGGCACACTCACCGTGGGCTGGGCACAGGGTGGCTCGTTTCCCCACGGGGGGGGAACCATCTGAAGCCTCGTGCAACGCACGGGGCGGTTTCATCAGCCTCCTCCCCGAGCAACTCATTACGGCTCCGCTCCTCCTGGGGCATCGCTCGGCCTCTCGGCCACCCCCGCCACGTGGGACCCACGGGGACACCCTCAGCCACGGCCACCGCTGCCACCAGCACCGTGCCACGTGCCGGGGTCTTGCAGGATGGGCACGGGGTTTGTCCCGGCCGTGGGGCAGAGGAGGGGGATGCTCTCTGGGAGTGGGGTACAAGGCGTTTCAGCTCTCTGCCTCCTCAGGTCCCGCTGCCTCGGCCACCGCAGTGCGGCAGGGCACCGGCAACCGGTTCCCCCCGGGCAGGTATTAAGGGCTGGGAGGGGAGGGGGGGGCTTTAACTCCAGATTTTAATTGCTGCGCCGGGTGATAAAGTGATAAGGAGCATTAGGGCTGCAGGAGATTATCGCAGCGGTGACGGGCACAACGGGGTGGCTCTGCCTGGCATTGTCACCTCCACCCCATGGTCCAGCGAGGTGGCATCCTTGGCTGGTCCTGCCCTGGGGACAGCAGCCTGGGTCCCCAAAGGAGATGGCATCCAGCGGGGGGGCTCATGGCTGGGGACCCCCGAGCAGGATGGAGAGGGGTTGTGGAGCAGGGAACCCCCACAATTTCTAATTGCATTAACCCCCACCTCCCACAAAGGGCTCCTCGTTAGCGTGGCCCTGACGGGGGACCCGTGAGGTGGGATGAAGCAGCCTTCAGCCTCCTCCTTCCAAACCAGGGGAACAAACCCCAGGGTGAGCAAAGCTCATGAAGCTTCAAAAACCTTTCCAAGAGGAGACTCTTTTCCCTGCCCACTCCGGGCAGAGGCTCCTGGGCTGCCTGGCATCCCGCCGGCCTCCTCATCCTCCCACGCGTGCTTATCTTTAGCCCAGACTCTCTCCTCGCTCGCACGCACCGGGCTGGCTTCCACGCTGAGGCACAGCCCCTCATCATCCTCACCATCCCCTGGCCAGCGAGGTGTTACACCCCCCCCCCCCCGACCCCCCCCTTGGGGGCCCCCGGGGGGGTTTATA